TTGCTAATGAGAAGAGACATCATAATATATTTAATGCACTTATTATCTACCAGAGTTATAATCCAAATGTATGAGACAGAGAGGGGGGGAGGAATGAGAATAGGAATAGAGCGAGAGGTGACCGGAAGGTTTTTCTCTGCCTCCCTGAACAACGAGGGATTTCTGCAGCCTCTGTTATGTGATAAGAGAGAAAAATCAAAGAGGGTCATTATGGAAGAGCGAATGAAAAATGAGAACAAATGACAATGGATGCAAAGGGGGGGGCTAAAGATTTGTGTGCGGTTTGTCGTGTAAGCATTTTCTACGGTCCGCAAGTCTACGGACAATAAACAAGAACATAAAATGCACACAACCACATACTTCAAAAAGTAACTTAGCTGACAGATAAAACATCCCAATTACACATAAAAGTAATTGAAACCCAGTCAAAAAGACAACCCAGTCAAAGAGAGAGAGAGAGAGAGAGAGAGAGAGAGAGAGAGAGAGAGAGAGAGAGAGAGAGAGAGAGAGAGAGAGAGAGAGAGAGAGAGAAAGGGAATAAATGGGAATGAAGAAGGGATAAATGAAGGGATGTAGTTATTAAGTGGGGAAAGTAGGATTAGTGACGATCATTGTGAAATAAGGATGTATTTAACATGCTGACATATGACATTGTGACACTAAAAACATATAATTAAAATGTATAAAAATGCATAATTGAACATTGGCATACGGCAGGCTAATGGAAAGCTAGATTGAACAGTTTGGCCTTTATGAACCTAAATGAACTAAAACACACACACACACACACACACACACACACACACACACACACACACACACACACACACACACACACACACACACACACACACACACACACACACAGATATTTTTTAACAATCAGTTTCATACTATTATACACTAACGTACAAACGTTTGGGTTTGGTAAGATATTTGATAAAATACAGTAAAAAAACAGTATTATTTTCAATTTTAATAAAAGTTGTATAATATATAAAAGTTGTAAGGCTTTATTTTTGTGGAAACAGTGATGCATTTTTTAGGTTTTCTTTGATTAAAAATTAAAATTGGAAAATTAAGCTTTTAATGTTAACGACAAACCATGTGCAAATTCATGGTCAAAGCCTCATTGCTGACTATTTTCTCCTTAAAACTGCAGTGAACCGGCGGTTTGAAATCGCTGGTGTTTCTGACGTCACAAACTACCTTGTAACCAATCAGGTCAACAGTGGATCTCTGAGCTGGTGTGAGTGAGTGGAGGCGGGGTTCATTTGCATATTCATAGAACCACGTATACTAAATGAGGCACAGGTGTAGAGTTACATTCAAGCTATTTTAAGGCACGAAGATTTTTTTCAAGGAAAAAAAAAACATTTAAATATTTTGGTGATCAAATATGAATTTTGAGGGATAAAATGATTGACTACAGGGGGACTTTAATAGAAAAAACAGCATTTTTTGAAATGGAAATCTTTTGAAACATTATTAGTTTCATATGTACTGTATGTATAAACATACATAGTTAAAATGTCTTAACTGTCGCGTTCGACCAATTCAGCAAAGTCTTTGCTGAATAAACGTGTACATTATTATTTTTTTATCTGAAAAAGCAATGTACTAGCATTTCAACCGGCCTGCTAGTTAACAAACCCTAAAATGACTTGCATAAACCCATCAAAAGATTTGCCTTTCAGAGCCATTTCAACTATAAATTCATCATAAAGGGCATAAAAATACCAGCTCTCAGCAAATCAATCCAATCTTGAGCTTTCATTACTAGTAAAATAATGATCTTTGCCAAAAGGGTTAAATTAAAATTGTTGGAAATTCTTCCGGACAGTTAATGGATGCTAGTTCTCGCCAGCAGGTGCTATGATGTCAGGCGGTCTTTAATCAGGGCTGTTTAACCTTTCTGTAACCCGCAGAACTGATACTCAAATACATTTTCATTTGCTTCAGGGGAAAAGAAGACGTGCTTTGACCTTTTATTTAAGTGTTAGTAATCTAACGCTTCTAAACGAACGTATTCATGTTTGCCGTCCCTTCCTGTGCATGCATTATGTGGAGTGTGTGTGTGTGTGTGTGTGTGCGTGTGCGTGCGTGCGCATTGAGACAGAGAAACCGACAGAATGAGATAAAGAGACACACTGTCTAGAAGAGTTATTCAGGTGTAATGCAGCATGGTAATACTCACTGGTTTGACCGGAGTCCATTTTCATAATCAAATAAAGAGAATCCTATCAGACAAATGTAATACTGCCAGCAATAGAGCTGTGTATTCAGCATTCATTTTCAGAAGAATACACTTCACTTCACAGGCCAAAGAGTATAATTTTGTTGCCGTTGTTGGACTGCTGTAATAAAGATAAAGCAAAGTGAACATTCGGGAGAGAAAAATGTCACAGAAAAAGCCTGGTGTCAAACAGAAATGCAAACATTTAAATGCGAAGGATTACACATGTCATCCGAGGCTGTGTGAGATTTCACGCTGTATTAGGCATCGGGTGCTATTTGAAACAAAGCTTGCTTGGAAAAGGTCATCCGTCTAGTGTATTCAGAGGAGATCACTGTAATCTTAAATAAACACAATCATGTAAGTCTAGGCATACAAACACACGCAATATGAATATAATGACCCGGCATCGCTTCTAAACAAGCTTAGAAGACTATAGTTTACCCAAAAGATGAACATTTTCTTCATTTACTCATGCGTTCCAGAGTTGGATGGCTTTCTTCCTGTCTTCTGTCGAACACAAAAAGACAATTCTGAAGAATTAAGCTGCATTCTTCTCCATGCTGATACAAGGAAGGGTGACTAAGGCTTTCAAGCTATAAAAAGGACAATAAAGCACCACAAACGCAATATAAAGTGTGTCTTCAGAAGACTTGGAATAATTATAAAATTAATTACAAATAAACAAATGGTCATTAGTCACTTAAAATCTCATCATCTGCCCTAGTTCTCCTTGGCTCATTCATTCACGAAAGAACAGATCGTGATTCAAGAACAAATCATTCTTTTTATTCTTCATAATAAATTGATCAATCCGGCTTGCAGAAGTGGTCTGGATGATTTGTTTTTTGAACTGCACTGATATGATTTTGGAGTTCTCGACCTCAATCTGGTTAACGGCCCACTTGGGGGGACGATTAACTTTGTGCAAATTGTATTAACCATTTTTATGATGATTTAATGGTGTTAAAGCTTGAAAGCCTCAGTGTTCCTTCATTTAATGACTAGAATAACTTCTCCTTTTGTGTTCCACGGAAGAAAGTCAGTCACCGATTTGGAACAACAAGAGGATAAGAAAATGATGACAGATTTTTCCTTTTTGGGCGAACTGTCTTTTTAATACTACCCGTGGTTTAAGCAACAGTATCCTGTCACGCTTCCTGCTGCTGAGAGTGTGTGAGAGAATAGTAATGTTTCATATCAGTGTCAGAACACCCTGTATTATGCCACATCACTCAGCTCTCTGCACAAGTTTACTGTCTCTGGCAATATCAATCTCTCTCAGTCTCTGTTAGCAAACCGATCCTTTTAGTTTTTGTGCACCCGAAATGACTCACACATTCCATCTCTTCCTCAAAACACTTCCCACTGCGGTGCACCTCGAAACCTCTCTCTCATTCCCATTTCAATTCGACATCAAAGAGACGAATCAATGCAACAGCGCCCATCATCACAACCTCATCCTCATGGTTTTATCATGTATTCTTATTCCTTCCCTTTCTCTCTCTCACCCTGCATGTTTTTTTTTTCTTTCAAGGAGGTTTTTGTTCTGTTGCATGCACACACACACACACACACACACACACACACACACACACACACACACACACACACACACACACACACACACACACACACACACACACACACACACACACACACACACACACACACACACACACACACACACACACACACAAAAGAATGCTCATGTGTGCTTGCATTGAATTCCTCTGTAACCTTTAACATTGATTTTCTGCTTTTAAAGTTCAGCCTCGTGGGTCGGGTATATTCAGAGATGGCTATAGATATAGGCGGGAATTTAATAATCTATATAAATATCACATGCTCTGATATGGATGGATGGCTGCATTTAGTTGATCAAAAATAGTGAAAATAGTAATAGTGTGACATTATTACAATTTAAAATAGGCTACCTGTTTCCTATTTTAATATCATTCTAAATCCAAATAATTACCATGACGTATTAAAAACAAAAAATTAAGAAAAGTTTGACTGGTATTGTTTATATTTATTGTTTGCTGTTGATGCAGTCAGTATGTTATATATTTTTAATATACTATATGCTATATAATAATATACTATATAATATACTATGTGATATAGGCTTACTTTAATATTCTAGAAGTAGAAATTAGTCATTGTTTTGAATCGGACCTTTTCAGATCAATTGATTTGTATACCTATACTGATATTCATAATATACTACATAGAATTAATAGCCCATCATTGCAGATTATCAATCATATAATTGAAATGTAATCATATAAAGCTTTGTTTACGCTCACATTTGCCGCTTGTTTGGTGTCAAAGTCAACCTGAGTTTCTTTCCCCATCCATTCTGTCACCTGATGGAGTTCGGGATCCTTCCCACTATCGCCTCTGGCTTGTTTAGTTGGGGACATGTAATATTTAACAATATTATTGAATCTGTCTGCATTGATGCTATTTGATGAGAAGTGAAATGAGCCGGACGATGACATAAAGATGAAATGAACTAATTTAATAATTGATGATCTTTACATTAGAACTGAATCAATTCAGCTGAACAATGACACTATTATCTTTTTGAGCTGTACAGTCGGAATGAACTCCGTTTGCATCATTGAACCATTTTCCTGTTATTACTGTAAAGCTGCTTTGAAACAATCTCTATTATACTGTATATCCTATATAAATAAAGGTGACTTGACTTGATATTTGCTGAAGGTCCATCAGCTAGAACAGTACTAACCTGCATAAGCCAGCTTGAAAAGTCATAATGGTCCAATGTGCACTGATTTAATTGAATGATCTTTTTTGTCTCTGTTTCCACAGGCTGTGGTCTGGAGTTTCTCCTGGTGCTGTGTGGTTTAGAGTTGACCCAGGGGTGTCCCGGTCACTGCATCTGCTACGACTCTCCCAGCACGGTGAGCTGCCAGGCGCACAACTTCCTGGTGGTTCCAGAAGGAATCCCGGCCCAGAGCGAGCGGGTCTTTCTGCAAAACAACAAGATCCAGCGATTGCTACAGGGTCATTTCAGCCCAACCACCGTCATGCTTTGGCTCTACTCCAACAATATCTCTTACATCCAGCCCTCCACATTCATGGGCTTCACCCGCCTGGAGGAGCTCGATCTGGGAGACAACAAACACCTCCGCTCTTTGGCTTCTGATACTTTTCAGGGCCTGACCCGACTCCATGCTCTGCACCTCTACCACTGTGGCCTAATCACTCTGCCCGCTGGGTTATTTGAAGGACTGCACAACCTGCAGTACCTCTATTTACAGGTAGGTTTCATATTCTCAATGTCTTTCTAACATTTGGAAAAATAGATCTGGGTCATTTTAAAAACCAGTGCCATTTATGTCCCTCTTATACAGTATATGTAAGACTATAACTTTATCAAGGAATAGCTGATGTCAACATTTACTATGTGCTACTATAGGTACGTTTTTATAAACACATCAGGATTTATAAGGATGCCTTTTTGACAAGTCACAACACCAGCTTCTCCTCGCTCTACCTGCAAAGTAAACTTCAATATAAATGTTTATCAATTCTGAAATTTCAAATTAAGCCATGTCAAATTTCTGAAGGCGTAATATTTATATATATATATATATATAATATAAAATAATGTTAAAATAATAATAAAATGTTTGGTAACACTTTAGATTAGGGAACACATTCACTATTAAAGGTAGGGTAGGTCGTTTTTGGTCTAAAAATCTTTTTCCCAAACTTGTTTAAACTTTTTATATATATCAATGCATAATTAAAATGTAAGTACTCTGATAAAAAGAGTATAAAAATCGAGTGACTCTAGACCGTTTAATCTGCACTAAACACAGCTCATTATTTCCTTCCGGGACGAAACAATGGATTGGCTTAGGCGACTGTCACTCTCTCGCAACCATGGCAACACCCCCGCTGCTACATATGCGCTGCCCACATGCGCGCACTCGTTTGACTCGAGGAGGGTAAGAGACTAGTAAGAGACACAATTACATGCAAAACACGGCGTATATGTTATGAATCTTACACGAAATTCACCTTCATCACAGTGTAACTGATTGTAATGGGAAAACGTGTATCAATGCAACCTGTTTTTAGCTTTGCTTTATGTTACTCGCTCGTTAACGAATCAAACTCAATATATTTTAAACTTTACCAGTATCGATATGCTAGCTTGATAGTGAGTACTAACAGCCATGTTAGTTGTTTATATTCATAATGATAAAGTTAGGTATTTTATTACATGTGAGTCTGACATGATGTCACTACATGCACTGCTCCTCTCCGCTCGGCGCTGGTAAGCGCGTCCTCCAGCTGTGAGCTGTCGGCATCGCGCGTTCATGTGTTTTGGGGGCGTGGTTTTGGAAGGAGCCCAGAATGGAGGGGGTGGAAGTGAATGGAGATAAGTAGCTGTGTTTATTACAGCCCTGAGAGGACTACAGACACTCGATTTTTATACTCTCTTTTCCAGAGTACTTACATTTTAATTATGCATTGATATATATAGAAAGTTTAAACAAATTTGGCAAAAAGTTTATAAAAAAAATCCTACCTACAATACCTTTAACTAGGAGTATTGCCAGAATAAACTTCTTATAACTGCTTATTGACAGTAAGTAAGGTAGTTGTTGTAGTGGTTATGTTTATGGTTAAGGGATGTAGAATATGGTCATGCAGAATAAGGCATTATTATGTGCTTTGAAGTTCTAATAAACAGTCAATATGGTAGTAATATGCATGGTAATAAGCAACTAGTTAATAGTGAATGTGTTACCAAATGTTTTAATTTAGACTAATATGGCACATTGCAATTTATTAAAGGGATAGTTCACCCGAAAATGAAAATCCTGTAATTAATTACTCAATGTTGTTCTAAACCCGCAAGAGTTTCGTTCATCTTCAGAACACAAATGAAGATCTTTTTGATGAAATCTGAGAGCTTTCGGTCCCTCCACAGCTCAACTGATACTTTGACGCTTTAAAAAGTTCTTATAGAGATTGTAAAACTAATCCGCACATGAATTGAGTGGTTTAGTCAAAATTGTCTGAAGAGACTCGATTGCTTTATATGATGAACAGATTTAATTTAGGCTTTTATCCACATTTAACAGAAGCTCAACCGAACCTGCTTGACGCGCGATAGCAAACCTCAGGGGTTCTTGCTGAAGCTCAAACGTGCTGCGTAACACGAGAATGAATGTCATTGGTTCTTGCAGAAGCTCAAACATGCTGCGTAACACACAGGAATAAACCCCATTGGTTCTTGCGGATGTTCAAACCTGCTGTGTAACAAGAGAATGAAGCTCATTGGTTCTCGCACGTCAAGCGAACATGCTTGAGCTTCAGTTTATCACAATTAATGTATGAGTTGATGAAGGTTTATATGGGAATAAAAGCCTAAATTCAATCTGTTCATCATATAAAGCGATCGAGTCTCTTTAGAAAATTTGGACTAAACCGCTCAATTCATATGGATTCGATTTACAATCTCTTTATGAACTTTATGAACTGAAGCGTCAAAATAGTATTGCGTATGGAGGGACAGAAAGCTCTCAGATTTCATAAAAAATATCATCTTTTGTGTTCCGAAAATGAGCGAATGTCTTACAGGTTTGGAATGACATGAAGGTAAGTAATTAATGAAAGAATTTTCATCTTTAGATAAACTATCCCTTTAACACAAACACATTTGCCCCATAGAAAGTTGAAAATAAGAAAAATGCCCTTGTGAAACTGGACATGGCACCTTTTGCATAAAATTACTCATCTATAGAGAATGGAGCAATGGAAATAAAATAGTTACAGTACCATTTAAGATTCCTGTGTTTTCCCTCATATTAATGTGTCTGATGTTCTGCTAGGTCTGACGTTCTGTGTAAATATATCATATTTAGGTCCTCCTCAGCCAAATTGAGTGTGGATTTATAAGACGCTTCGCTTGGCACATTTGTGCTGACACTTTAAGAAATCTGACTGGATACAATACCGCTTTTGAGGAAGCAAAAATGCCCTCTTGAATGTATTTTTTTTATTTTTTTTTAGATTGTCAGTGCTCCCGGTTTGAACCATTGCTTAGGAATCATCTGACTTGCCAAATAAATCCTGATAAGATCTGCTCAAAATGTTCAATATCAGCCTTGGCAGCAAAAAGTGCTGCACTAAAATGATGACCAGAGATAATATTTCGTTCTAATGAAAATGTCAAAAAGGTATCATACTCTTCAGGGGCAAAGAACATTACGGACACACGGCTCTTGGAATTTGATTTATGTTTAAGGTTAAACGTTTCTGACCTTTCATGAGGTTTCATAAGCATATGCACAAGGTTATGGGTATTTCGGTTAATATATCTGAACAAGGTCTACATAGTACAAAAACGGTATCAAATAATAAAAATATACTGTAATACAAAAAGTTTGACATAAAAGTACCATACATATATATAGCATGCATTTCACATCTATTATTAAACTGGCTGACCTAATTTTTTAAAACAAAATAGCTGAATTATATATATATACTGTATATACACTGTACAGTTTTGTCTGCTATTCTTGACATATATACATATATTTTCTTATCTAAAACGTTCTGTTCTGGAAACAACATTTGTCAAGGATATATCAGACAAAACTGTACAGTACCTTCCACCTGAACATACAGTTCTTTACACTCGGCTTGTTTCGTCCCAATTTCACAGTGTTTAGCCTCTCATATACTGTAGCTCAAAACCGGATTAAAAAAAAAGAGGCATACAGATGAGTAAAGATTACTGTGAGGGGTTGTTTGGGATATGTGAATAACAATTAGATGAAAATAAATTCAAAACATGAATCACTCTCCAATTCATGCAAATATATATTTACCTTCAATACATTGTCCTGAGAACACAATGCATTGAAGGCACTTTGGATTTTCAAAAAGATTCTTATAACAGAAATACAAATGAAAAGGGAAAATCTAATATATCCAATATAAAGAGTCATCTTTGAACTGCCTTTATGAAGAGGACACAGAAGCAGTCGCATGATTTGATTTGGTGTTTTTCTTAAGATGATTTGTAGTTTTAATCTCATCAACATCATCTAATCTCATCAACAACAAAAACATTTCTTATATTTCGCAGAAGATAGCAAAAAATAATAATAATATGATAAATAAACCATTTTAAACTAAAATTTGATTGAGCTATTTTTGTAAACGGACTAAAACTAATGAATACGACATGAATTGACTAAATTTAACAGGACATTTCATCAAAAGACAAAAACTGATTGCTTTGTATATTCATATCTGGGACTTGCTTTTTCTGAGCCTGCTACTGACTGTTGCTGTTTATTTTGGCGTTCTGCAGAACAACCAGCTGGAGTTTCTTGAGGATGACATGTTCATTGATCTGCTGAATCTCAGCCATCTATTTCTGCATGGAAATCGGCTGTGGAGCCTCCACCAGAACACTTTCCGTGGCCTAGGGGCCCTCGATCGCTTGCTGCTGCATCAGAACCGGCTCCAGTGGGTTCACAAACAGGCTTTCCATGACCTGCGGCGCCTGACGACTCTCTACCTGTTCAACAACTCCTTACCCGAGCTACCAGCCGAGAGCTTGACTCAGCTGCCGGCGCTGGAGTACCTGCGTCTCAACGACAACCCTTGGGAGTGCGACTGCAAGGCCGTGCCGCTCTGGGATTGGCTGCGGCGCTTTCGTGGCTCCACCTCCTCATTAATATGCATGGCTCCGCCGGAGCTGGCGGGAAAGGATCTGAAACGGCTGACAAAAGAAGAGCTTCCCTCCTGTACGGGCTCGGAATCGCTCCACCAGAGCAAATCCAGCAGCCAGGGAGATGTGGGGGTGTCGCTGAAGAAAGATCATCATCACCGATCACACAATCATCATCATCATCATCCTCACCTGCCACATCAGGATCAATACTATCCCACCTCCCCGTCACCGCTCCCTCGACCGCCCAAGTCGGGACGCAACAGGAACTGCACGAGGCATCGCAGCCGTAAGGGCAATGGTCCGAACGAGGTGTATAACCTAAAGGATTTAGCCAACAAGGAATCGGGCGACAAATATGACCAGTCAAAGCCAAGACGTAAGAACAAGTGCATCCCACGGACTTCGGTGGGGCCCCCTAGTAATGTGCAAAGAACAAACAGCAGCAGGGCGACGTCCCTCTTGGCACCTTATTTCATCATCCCTCTTTACTTATTGGTGTGTCTCACTGCCCTTATTTTCCGCTGAGCCTGTGGAAGCCTGTACAAATGGTTTTACCGAAAAAAACTTAGCCCTCTGTCTACTCTGGCTCCAACACTTCAGTGTGCGAATGTGTGTGTGTGTGTGTGTTTGTGTGTGTGTGTACATGTGTACGTCAGCGAGCCCCTTTTGAGGGACAGAGGACTTGTGCAAAGTTACGGGCCTGGAATTAAACCGGAGATGAGAAGACACTCTGGAGTTTGTGGGCGAGAGAGGGACACTAAATGGACTACTCCTCGATCATCACCATTTTTACACCATTCCCTGTTGCTGCTGATTTACCAGGGCATATTCAGTAAAAAAATTAAAATAAATTGTGCATTTGTTAACTACATTCAATTGTACATCACACCTCTGCAGAATAATTAGCAGCCCTTTTTGGTCAAGCTTACCACTATTAAAACCTACAAATCCTTGTCCTGACCTTCGACCTGAACACAGGCTACAGCCCAGAGGGGGAGGGGGGAGGAGGAGTGTGAGCTATATACATAAATAGACCATTTACACAAATGTACATGGAACTGCTGTACTAATGTGTTAGCATCTCTACCGGTTTCTGAGGGAGGGTTGTTGTCAACACATTTAGCACCTGACAAGATAAAAATGACAACCAAGCACACAGATGAGGGATTGTGTTAGTTATGAGGTTGTTTTTTTAACATATATATAAGAAAAATGGTTGCATTTGCAATATTCGCACATTAAAGCTGGTTCGTACAGCCCCAACAAATGCTAACAGGGTTAGCACGCTAATCCAACAAAACCAAAAGTTTTTGTTTGTTGTCACATGGTGAAATAGCATTCTACTGTTCTGAAGCTGCTATGCTGGCATACTTTAAGGTCAGTGAGAGAAAAAGTAGAGTTTATGAAGGATTATGGTATGGCTCTGGGTTTGTGTGTGTTGTTATTCGTTGATTGTGCCCTTAAGATAGTATTTTGCATAAAAACTGGAAGAAAAAAGTTAAGACATGAAAAGGTCAAGTGGAGCGCATGCAAAAAGCCTCATGTGTTATCTGTTACTCAGCTGCAATAATGTGCTAACCTAGAAGGGAAACAACAACACTACATTAGGATCTGCTCATGACACAGTTTGGGGAAAATTAAACGCTTCACAAAGGGGGAAAGAGAGCTGTGCAGAGTTATGATGTTGAGGCTAACCTGGAAGACTAATTCGCCATAGATTCCCTAAGGAAGTTCCTACGGGTTTCTGAAATAGCAGTTTTTGATTTAAATCGCTAAGGAGGAGGGCAAACATCTCAAACATTTAGACTTTCTTGACGAAATATAAATAACACCCAGAAAAGGAGCAGACGCAGTGCTAGCATCTCTCGCAGTACTAGCATGTAGAGGAACAGATGAAAATGGCCCTAATGTGAAAAGACTTGTTCTTCGTACATAAGTTACATAGTCACACCTGCAACATGAATTGTTGTAAACTGTTTTATTTTTATTTTTATAAATAAGTTCACATTGTAAATACGTAGCTAAATAGGGACTACAACTACAGGTACCACAAGAATGTGAGTTTGCATGCTTGATGGGCCAAACAATCACTGTAGTCCTTATGTAGCCACTTGTTAGCAACTAAGCGTTTGTAAAAAGAAATGTAAATTTATGGTATAGAACAAAATGTGACAAATATAATGGTGACCACAGCCTTTATTTTACTCATAAATCAAAAACTACCTTCTGAAAACCCATTAGAAACTCCAGAGGGAAACCATGGCCCAAAAATGCCATTTCCCATTCAGGTTTTAAGAGTAGAAACTGAACAGTTCCAGAAAGCCAACGCAAGTTCTGAGGTAATAATCCTTGTGATCCAGATTAATCCTTGCAAGCCATAGAAAAACATGTCTGTCACTCACCATCTCTGACCTCTGCCGCTGTTAAGCCATTGAACACGTCTGAATTGACATCCTAAATCTGAGATATTAAACGTCAATGAAAAATCATAGAGCCCCCTCTGGACAGGTAGGGTAATATCACTTTCCCCACCTCTAACTGGTCCCCATTAAAGACTTTCTATCTTTATACAAAAGTGAACAGAAATTATAATGACATGTCCATTGTGAACATTTATTTGTTTGAGAATATGTCACATACTAACAAAAGACTGCGTATAACATTGTCGGGGGAAAATGAAGTTATTTTGTATTCATGTACTTTTTCTTTGTACATTGTCGTCAAACTGCAATTTTAAGCATACAAGTGCACCATGTTAACACCTTTCCCGTCTTCCTCAGTCTGTCCATCTTTATTCCCCCCTTTTTCATGACTCAAACTTTCTGTCTGTTATGAAACACCACTCAAAATCTGTTTCTAAAGAACATTAAAGAGAAATGTGGTCTCACCGCTGATGGTTTTGGATGCTTCTGTTTGGATTCTGCTTGAAAATAACAAAGTATAAATCAGGTGATGTTTAACCTGGGAAATGATCACACTAGAAACAGCTTTTCATTTCTGAACCAAATGGCGTTACTGCAGAAACATAATAATTCACATTAAATCACTTGGTTGATTTAAATTCTGAATATAAAAGGCAGCCAAGATACAGCACTTTCTCAATTACATATATTTTACGTACTCTCACACACTGTGGAAATAAGCATAATTTCTTCAGGGACATGCAGGACATCTTTGAATAGACAGACATATTTTATTGAACCCTGAGGGGGAATTCTGTTACAGAGACAGATAGTAAAGCCTAATTAAACTGTTGCTACGCTATGGCAGTAGTTGATCTGAAACAGAAAACTGACTGTGGAAAAATATGAGTTTATGCTAACGCCTGCTATAGCGCCCCCTATGGTTGGGGCCTATAACTTAAACACTTCCACTGCATTCAGTTTCTTTCTTGCACACACTTAAAAAGATGTGTACTATAACAGAAACATTATAGAACAAAGCGACACTGTCTCAGGCCAGAAAATGGTTGATCAACCTTAAACCCTACTGAGGAAAAATGTCCTTTTTGTTCCCCTTCGGCACCTGATGAAAATCTTAGAGATGATCCATGAGTTGGGATAAAATCGAGTTTTGTCATTCACAAAAGGAAGGACGTTTATGCAAGATTACAGTACAGACAGGACCTGAACTACATGAAATATCAGCAGTCTAGAGCCTGTAATACAGTCTCAAAGCACACACAACTGATCTTCTCTCTCTGTTATGCTTATGTTAAATGTTAGTGAAACTTAAAAGTTTGAAATGAAAAAAAGAGACGTTTGAAAGTCAGAAAACAGTATATATTGACTGGAACAGCAGTCTGTGTTTTTTTTTTTTTTTTTTGCAGTATATACACTGCGCACAGTTGTCTGTATGCTTGGAATTTCTGGATGACCTTCTACATTTTCCAATATGTGCAAAGATTGTGCAATATATAATGAGAGCACAGTGTGAGAATACCATGTCCCACAATGGAATGCGTTCAACTTGACCTTCCTTGACACAAATCGGAGGCAAAATATCCTCTTTTCTTTTTTTTCTTTTTTTTATCAATTATTTTATTATTGAGATATTTTTACACAACACTGAATTAAGAAGGAAAAACAACAGTTTTTATTTATAACTGAACACCACTCCTTGCATGAAAGATGCAATATAGTATGGTCATGTGACAATAATAAAACTGGCTGATTACTGTTTTACATGCTACAAAAATAAAAATAGTAAGTAAATGGAAAAATAGAAGGCAGTGGTTATGTTCGAAATGCATATTACTTGCTACTGCATACTACTAGCATACTGCCTACTATTTTAAACTAATTTGCAAAACAGTAGGCATAATACTAGTATATATACAGTATATATAAGCGGAGGGTCAAGTCGACTGCATTGCATTGTGCGATACACTATGTTCATTTTGCTCTGTTGTATACTGACATTTTGGCAAATATAGTAGCTTGTCAAATATTCTTTATATGCTGTGCACATTATCTATGTTTATTTGATCAAGAATTCAGTAAAACATTCATATTGTGAAATATTATTATAATTTCAAACTGTTTTCTTTTGATCAATTTAATGCATCATTGCTAAATAAAACTATTAATTTATTATTTTAGAAAACCTTACTGAGCTCAAACTTTTAAACAGTAGTGTACATACTGCAGAAATAGTAAAATAAGTATAATAGTACACTGTTCCATAGGCCTATAGCAGCATGTGTATACTTTGCAGTATGCAGTAGTGCCTGGGTAATCTTAATTTCTAATTTAAAATGTTAATATAAAATTCTTTCAAGAATTCATTAAGTAATTAAATTATTAATTGCATTCACATCCCAAGTTGAACCAACCCAAGCTTGCCACCCTGAAAACAAAACTGCAATAAACAGTGTCAACATCAAGGTTTGATTCCCTGAAAAGTGTAAACACAGTGGCTGTGTTCAAAATCGCCCCCTATACCCTCATTCACTAGTCCCTATATTACTCCACTAATATTGTCCACTTGAAGGAGTGAATGAAAACGAGTGAGTGAATTCGGACACTGGGTGCGCCGGCAGGGCTGCCGCTTTTGTAGCCTATAGTTTGTGCTTGCTGTTAAAATTATTTGAAGCTTAGCAAAATGGCAGCTCCAGTAGCAATGAAAAGATTTATATTGAACTCTGTCATGGAATCTAGCATGTTTAAACCTTGATTAAACAATTTAATAATCAAGTAAAAAGGAGTTTATACCTGTATGATATTACGCAGCGGTTTGGAAAATGGATGGACGATTCACCTGCAGGCGCCATCTTCTGGCGAGACGCCGGAAATCATTCGGCGCGACAGTCACAGTACATTATGGGTATTCTTTAGCCGTTGTGTTTACATCGGTTGTACACTTGTTGATTGAATAAGTGCACTCAATAACGTCCACTATGGTTTCGGACACCACTACAAATGGCTGACCCCTCAAAATAGTGTCCTATTTAGGGGGTGATTTCGGACACAGCCAGTGTCTCTGTGTTATCAAAATATTGCGCTGTTTGTTTGCACGACCTTCCCAAAAACTGCAACACTGACTCAGCCAATGGCATGAGTTTGGGGGTGGGGCTATCTGATTGTCTGACCAATAGCACATCAGGGAAAGAGTTCATGAAACTTTGATAACAGTCATCATATTGCAGTTCCATTA